ACTAAGTTGCCAAAATGATATTTTATCACTCTTGTTTACTTTAGGATAGCCTATACACAAGAACATTCTCTTATATAAACACAACACAACTGTCAAAACCAGGAAATTTACATGATTCTGTACTAGCTGCTTGTGTTATAAAAGCCATTATTGGGACAACTGGTAAAACATGAATGGGATTCAGGAATTAAATAGCACTAATATATCAATCTTATATTCAAGGTTACTAATTCTCTTCGATCTATATCTAATATAGTCTTTAATATGATGAATTTTCAATTTTTACTGCATACAAAATTTTGAAATAACATGTAAAATTCAGTCATTTTAAACACTGACTTACTGCTGTCCTAAAATATTGTACCCTTTTTGTTACAGATCTTGGTGGAATGGGAGGGAAAACTAAAACATACATATATAAAAAAATTCTGTCAGCCTAAATCTATTTGTTCTTGGAAGTAAATATTTATATAGCATATGAAATAATCTTAAGTGGAACAGTATCTGAGACAGATGAAAGGTAAGTTGCTCTGTTTGAAGCATGAAAGAACCCTGAACCTACTCTCAGCCTCCCATCATCCCACCATTGTGCTTGAGGCATCTCCACAGAACCCTGAGTTTCTCAGACCAGTTTTTAAGGTACATTGAGATAGGGAATACAGTATAGCACAGAAAATATTGACAAAGCGAAAAATGTTCAAGACACTTGAAAACTTGAAGAATGGTTATAAATTGGGTACAAAGGACTTTCCAAAAGTTGACAGTTTATACTGGGTTCTTCTCTATAGAGAAAGAGCTAATCCTGTGAAAACTTATTTATTCACATAAAAGAGTTATTCCGTATAGTAAATATTAAAAGGCATGACTTGAGTCAGACTGGTTTTAGGTTCCAGTTTAACAATTCCTTTCTCTATATATTCTCTCTCTTGGTAATCTTATTTTATCTGAGGGTTTTAAGTGCCATCAATATGCCTTTCACTTCCAAATTTATATCTACCCTCTGCCCTGAATTCTAGATTCACATATCTGTCTGCCTACTTAAACATCTCCATTTAGATTTCTAACAGCAACAAAAATTTCTCTCTAAAACCTATTCACCCAGACCCTTCTCTCTCTCAGTCAATGGAACTCTTTCATTTCAGGTGAACCGGCCAAACACCTTAAGAGATGTCCCTAATTCCCTAATTTCTAATAAGCCCTATATCTGATCTATCAGCATATCCTGTTGACTCTGTCTTCAAAATATATGGAGCATCTCTGCACCTCCCCTTCTCTACACTGGATATGCCTCCATCCTATAAACCCTAAATAATCGGTGGCTATCTCCAAAGTTGACTCTTTGCTCCCTAACAATCTAACCTCAACAGGGGTAAGACTTTCAACATTTTAGTCAGGATCATGTTATATTTTGCCATCAGTTTCAGATGGAAAGTCAGAGTTCTTATGCAGACCTTGAAGGCTCTGTAGCATCGAGCTCCTATTACTTCTCCAAAGTACTCTTCACCAGTTTCCGTATTGCTCAGCCTGCTCTAACCATGCAGTTGTTCTTGTTGATCCTAGAACTTGCCAGGCATGGACCTATCTTAGGGCTGACCATCCCCTAGATATCCACAGACCAAAGGACTCATCTAAGTATTTACTCAAATACCACATTTTAATGAGGCCCAATCTGGCCATGTTACATAAAATTAGAGACAACTCTAACTCTCAGTCTTGACACTTGTTACTGAGCCCCATTTTTTTCCATATTATTTATAATCTAGCACATTATAAGTTGGGAACAGGGACTTGGTTTAAAGGATAATGTATTAAATGTAGAATAATAATTCTGGACTTAGGGAGTTAAATGACAATGAAGAGCTAATTATGGAAGAGCCAAATGGTTTGAGGATCCTAAAGTAGTCAAGGGGCACACATGTGTGCACATGTACACACACACACACACACATCAGTCAAATAAAGGGAACTAATTGTATACACACACTATATAGTTGTATATAGTACACATGGATATAGATGGATAGATAGATAGATAGATAGATAGATAGATATACACATATGTTTGTTTACAGTCTTGGTGATTATGAGAATGAGACAATGCAAATAAGAAAGACAGTAAGAACAGGGAAAAGCAGTTGTGGTAGAGGAGGGCACTGGCTTGGTTTTAAGTGTTTAAATATAAAGGTTCCCCATCTTTTCTGGTGTTAAGAGTATTACAAACTAGACTTTTGGGTTCTCAAGTGACCTTTTTATTTGGAAATTTTTTCTCAGAGAGTAATTAGGGACAAGGTAACTTCAGTTTAATACAGTTTACACAATGGTTCTGTTTCACTTGTTTGTTCACATGTGAATAATTATCTGCATTTCTACATCTCGTGCCTGTTAGAAATTGTAGTTTCAATTACATTTGATCATATGTATTAAGTGTAAACCTATGGTGTGAGCAGTGACAAAGACAGAGTGCCTAACCACCTCTATTTGAAGTCCCCTAGGACCCGGGTTAATTAATGAGACTCATCCTAAGGTTATACATGATCTATTACTTCCTCTAATTAGAAATAATAATCCTGATCATTATGCTGGTTAGCTGGAAAGAAGTAAGATGAATGTGCTTAACTATGATTAATAGTCTTCTTTAAGCAGTGTAGATCTCTTCTGTCATGGACTTATATGCAAACCAGGCTGCAACTCAATGCTTTTTCATGGTATACATTTTTTTAAAACTCACAGAAAAATTAATTTTCTGGCATATCTTTTTACCTTTCCTGACAAAGAACAACCATTTTATAATTTTAAAGTTGATTACCACAACAAAATTCATTTTTCTACCTCATATTAGTTATCCAATAATTGATTCTTTTACCTTTTTTATATTTTCCTCAAAATTATGTGAATAGATATGTGTATCACAGTTTAGTCCATACTGCTGAGGTGAAATAGACTGTTGCACATGATTATAAACCAACAGTTATCATTCAAAAAAATTATGACGATAATAATCATGGTATTTATTTAATGCTGTTTTATAAGGGTTGATGTCTACCCTATGCTTACTAACAACTTTCCCAGATAAATTCATATGCAAAAGAAAGTTATGAAAAGTTATTATCTGGTTTAAGAGATGCAATATATTCAAAGAGAAAGGCAGGTGGTCAGAACAAGGTGGTCAGAAAGGTAGCATTTATATATCCGTTAAACTTTTTTAACCAAGGAGACCGGGTATTCTAAGAGTAAGACATAATACACTCTGAGCCAGATGGTGGTCCTTATTTGACTTTGGCTTTACAAACTAACTGTGAGGACCTGGGAATAACTTTACCTTTGAACATTTTGAAAGTGGTGAAAATAATGATGACATTTGTCATATGATTATTGAGAGAATTAAGAATATTTATCTCCTATGTTTATTGAGAGGATTCATTTACTTAATAGGCATAAAATACTATCATGGTGTCTAGCAAATGGTACATGTTTCCCTTTCATGTTGAAAAATGTCTAGCCATGTGTGAAATGTACTTGAATTTCAAAATTAATTTTCTTTTCTGATATTTTCACCACTGGAACTCAGAGTGACTAAAGATTTAACTAATCAATATTTGTAACTGAAGTACTAAATTTATCAATGTTGTTTTTTTTTTCACTAAAAATTTTACAGGACCACTTAAATTTTTTTGCCATCTTTTTTTTTTTTTTTTTGGCTATCAAGGTAGATAGACTTCATATCTGAGTCTGTCAATGAGATTGCTAAACATACAGAGATGACTACCAAAAGTGTAGGTCCTGATTTATTCTTTTGATAATTAATTTCTAAACTTTCTAACCAGTATAATAATTTTATCATTTAGAATTTTCTCTTTTTATATTTGAGTTTAATAATTATTTAAAAAATTTCTGTTCACAATGTGTTTTATTAGATCAGAACAAATCAGTAATCTGGTTATCAATATTTAAGCAATTATTATTAAATTTTCAATGAGATATTGAAAATAATGAGGAAACATGCATTTAGGCAACTACTATGTGCTCTGAACTCTGCTTCCAAATTAAGGGATATAAAACACATAATCCATCATATCATAGATAAAATACTAAATGAAAAATAAAAATATAAAATTATGTATATTGAAGGCAAGTATGTGATAAAATATATTTTTGTTTGGTAAGTGGTTGGTAAATTTTCCCAGAGAACATGAAACTTGAAGCATATTGATAAAGAAAGGAAATGAAAAGTAGAAGAGAGAAATGTATAGGGAAAAAAGCAAAAAGCAAAAATGAACTCACAATTTCATTAATACGGCCAACTTCACCGAAAGTTTTTATGTTGGAGTGAGGGACAGAGGCAAATAAATACAATACATACAATCTACAGAATGTCTTATAATGCAGACTGAAAGAAATCTTACTCCTGATGTCAGAGATCCTAGGGATATTAAAGGTTTTTAAAGTACTAAAACATGATTTTGAGCTACTTGTGTTTACTTAAACTAGAAATATATATGGGCTTTCAATTTTGAATTTAAACTTCAGAAGATACGGATAAATCATAATAAATCCTTTATTTTATTATTTACTTAGGAACAAAAGTATCCACACATGAAATTCATTTTATTTTTTCCTCGACATTTTTTGCCACCAAAATGACTCTTTCAAATATATAAACAATATATATGAAGAAAGTAAACTTGTAAATAAATAATATGTATGCATATAAAAATGTGTATATTTAGTGATATTTGCAAAACCTTCAGATTGACAAAAGATCTCTTACCAACTTGAGTTCAAATGCAGAGAACATCAGAAGTGATTACTATAACTGGAGTGGGACTCTGTCAATCAAATATAAAACTGACATCTTGATAAAGTAATAAAGATCTTTCCGAAGTCCTCTGCTAAGCTAATCTGCACATTAAATGAATGTGTTGCTAGCTGGACATATGTGTGCAAGAGCATAGAAATTACAAATGTGAAAACTACTCAAATTTGGATTTAAAAAGTCATACCTGTAGGCCTTGCCCATCCACTGTCACAGAGTTGGCTCTTTGCATTTTGTTCTTATCTGTCACTTTGTTTGATTGCTGGGAACCACCTTTTTCCTTTTTCACTGTTGCTTGTCTTTCCTATAAGGAGGAAATCTTTTGTTAAAAATGTTGTTTTACTAAAAAGGCCAACACAAAGAAAACTTTTGTGGCTACAAACTTGGGCCCACATTCCTAATTTGGAGTTCCTAGTGAATACTAAGAATGCTGTTGCTTTCTACTGGCTTAGTCCATGTGATAGATGCATAATAAAAATACCAGTTAAAGAGACTATGAGAAAGAAAACCAGATGGCATTCCCCCTATGTGCCCAACTAGGACTGTTCATCAGAAGTCTCAAGGACCACTAAGGCTAATCATTTTCATAAGCAATGGTAGAAATAAATAATATAGAGTTACAAAAAATTATTATTGAGCACTAAAAATAATGCTTATAAATACAGGTAATATCAAAAATGCATACATGATGAACTTTTAAGCTGCTACCTATATCCAGGATGGCATAAAATTTAAAACACACATTCCATCCCAGCTAATTCTTTTGCTCACCATAGTAGAAACATTTCTTGTAGTTGTCCGCTTCCTGTTTCTATTTTCCCCTCCTCTCACTCTCTTCGACCCAATCCCAAAGCTTTTTTCACCATTAATCCACCAAATCTGCTCTTCTTAAAATCATCAATGACCTACTCATTGTCACATCTATTGGCCAACCTTCCTCTTTTCCACTTTTTAGCAGCATTTGACAGAACTGAGCTCTTCCTCCCTCTTGAACACTTGCTGGGCTTCTGAACACATCTTTCTCTTACTTTAGCTCTCTTCTTACTTGACGAACTGCTTCCTCAGAGGCTCTTCCATTGTTCCTCCTCCAGATTTACAGACCATAACATTTAACCTCTTCCTTGAACGTCTCAACTTCACCCTCTACACTCACTCCCTAGGTAGCTTCATTAAATCCCAAGGTTCTGAATTTCAACTTCATGAGGAGGACTTCTAAAGCTATAGTTCCTGTTCAGATTTCTCCCTTGAACTTTAACTCCTACATACAAATGCCCTTTCTACCTTTCCATGAGTGTCTAAAACATACATTGATCCTAAAATATCCAAAACTTTTTTTTCCCTTTAATTTCCTGCCTATCCTCCTTGAAAACAAATCCCAAACTGGATGATGACTCACCACTTCCATCATTACATACTTTAGGCCTATTTTCTTCTTTGCCTGGGTTATTGTAGCCATCAGCTAATGGGTCAATCTGCTTCCATCTTTGTCTCCCTACAGTAGGTTCTCTATACAACAGCTACACTCATCCTATTTCACTCCATCCAGCTACCCCCACCTCCTCCTTATTCCTTGATCACAAGTATGCTCTTAATTCAGAACTTTGCAATCACTCTTCACTCTGCTGGAAAGCTCTTTTCTGCATATTTGTTGGGTTTGCTCCTCACTTACTTCAGATTTCTGTTCAAATGTCAGGTAGGCTTCTCTATTCCCTTTAGCCTCCTTTTATAGAAACATAAAAATATATATATAATTACATATTATCTATATGTAATATAGATAAAATTTATTACAACCTGAAATGTTTTTCATTTAATTAGTTTAATACTGGTCTTTCCCCCACTTTAGTCAAAGCTCCATAAGAGAAAGTCCTTTGTTTGCTTCACTGTTGTACATCAGATCCTAAATCAGTGCCTGACAAAAGTCAGGATAAATGAATGGAGAAATAAATGAATCAACATTAAAAAAAATTTAAGTGCCTGAAATATTGTACTGAGAGGGAATCTTGGGTCATGTCTAGGCTTGGTATGAAAAGTTGTTCTGATCTAATAGCACTGTCTTCCATGTGTGCTTAAATACTTGAGTGAATATATTTTCTGGTCCCTATATTGCTTTATAGAGCATCATTTCACTTTCAGTCATTTTGGAACATATTTTAACTGGACTTAAAAGCAAAGTTCTTTTTTTTTAAGTGGGCTCTACGCCCAGGTGTGGAGCCCAACACCAGGCTTGAACTCACACCCTGAGATATCAGGCGAACACCAGGCTTGAACTCACACCCTGAGGTATCAGGCGTTGGACACCTAACCAACTGAGCCACTGAGGTGCCCCCAAATAAAGCTCTTTTTAACTATATTAGGACCAGATGGATCAGGAAATTTCTCAGACCAAAACAGATGCTACACAGTATAGTCCATTTACCTTGCAATTTCAGGGTGTACAATCACTGACTATTTTTTTGTGCGGTTAAAAATGGATGGTGTAATAGGATTCCTGAAATTCACATTCTTTGGAAAATGATATACTTTCATATAAGTATAATTTCTGGCAAAAATATTGATTTTTTTAAAGATAGATATTTTTCTAAACTTGCAAATTATAATTTTATCCATAGAGAGTTAAGAGTATAATGCATAGAAAGAGTGGATTATAGGATGAGGTTTGGAGTCAGAAAGCCGGAGCTGAATCCCATCTCTGCTACTTAAATATTATGTAATCTTAGAGAACTTAAACTCTTATTCAAAATGGAGTTAGTAATACCTATTTCTCAGAGTTGTGTAAGGTTTAAGAGAAAATACATAAATTCCTAACATTGTCCTGTATTAGAATATGTGCTCAATAAATGAAAGTTATTATGAATAACAAAGTATGGCTCTCCCATTAGGGTGCTCATTAGTACTACAATTATGCCAAGTGTTTATTATATTTCCAAGTGCATGTATATGAAAAAATTACACTTAGTTACACTTAAGTATACGTTTAAATAAGTAGGGCTCAATGTTTACAACTGAAAATCCATAGCTTGCATTAAGAGTTCAAAAATGTAATACTGGTGGAAAGTAAGGGAATAATTTCTTTCTGGATTCTGCATGCAGGTATATACGACATGGTAACAATACTCTATAAAAATCTACAGTGTAGAAGATATACACTATCTTATGTACCTTATATTCTATCATACCTTATATACCTTGTAGTCTGCCATATAATCCAACAATTGCTATTTGGCATTTAATTCCTAAAATGTTTAGTTTACAAGAATTAAGTATAATTTACGTTGGTTGGTCACATTGGAACTGGGTATTTATGACAAAACTATTTATATTTGTAGTGTTGGAAGTTTAACACATGTTAAGTGTATGTCTGTAAAGAGCTACCACATCATCTATGAACATGATTTTATTCTTAGCTATGCTCATAGCTAGGGGAATTCCTTTGCTGGTAAGAATCTCCAACTAGCAGAAAGCAGTTGATTAAGTAGCTTCAGGTCTCTTCAGGGAGTCACCTTTCTGAGTAAATTGGAGTCGAAACAAATGCTTTATAGAAGCCTTTGTAAAATATAAAAACAAAATTTTAGGGGCGCTTCGGGTGGCTCAGTCATTAAGCATCTGCCTTCGGCTCAGGTCATGATCCCAGGGTCCTGTGATAGAGCCCCGCATCAGGCTCTGGGCTCAGCGGGAAGCCTGCTTCTCCCACTCCCCCTGCTTGTGTTCCTTCTCTCGCTTTGTCTCTCTCTGTCAGATAAATAAATAAAATCTCTAAAAAAAAAAAAAAAATTTAAATCCTAAATTGAATGTTCAACTAAGGCATTATTTTTGAAACCTAAAATTATAAGAAAAGGTATATAACAAGTTAACAGAAAAATCCTCGGTCTATCCTGAAGTTGTCAAAAAGCTTCACGAAGAACTCACCGACCTGATTTTGCATCATTATTAAGGATACAATTGCTCTCTGGTAACAGGGGGCAGTGCTCACCACGTCACCTTCCAGTTTTTTGTTTTTTTAAGTGTTTGGGCTCTAAACCACAAAATAAATGTGTGAATTTTATTATATAATTTAGATAATACTAAAATAGTAAACATTTGTTTAAACACACACACACACACCAAAAAAACCAAGTGGTTTCTTTTTGGGGGGGGAATATGCCTACTGGGTAAAATTTGTGGAATTAATCAAGGCTGAAAATTTTAAACAGGAGAAACTCATAAGCATTTAATTTTTCCCAGAGTTTTCTTTTTAATACACTCATTTGTTTTACTTTTATTTCCAAATTGTATAGAAGTCTCTCTGAGATATTCACTATACCTTATTTAAGCAGCATAAGCTCACAGTAGGATAGTTGGATACTTTTTCCTATTTCCACTGAGAAAAATCTTTACTTCTTTCATATTTTACATGAGGGACAGGAAGGGGGAGCAATTGCACCCCTGAAAGATCTGCTGTCCACAAAAATTTCACTAGCCTGTTTTGGGGGTTAATTAACTCTGAATGGCAGAACTCTATTAGGGAATTTAAGAGACTTACTCCCAGGGCTGAAATTATTGAAAAGTTCCAGGAAGAGATCACCAACCTGATTTTGCGTCATTATTAAGGATAAAATTGCTCTCTGGTAACAGGGGGCAGTGTTCACCACCCCACCTTCTGCTTTTTCTTTTCTTTTTTTTTTTTAAGTTTTTGGGCTCTAAACCACAAAATAAAGTACCTTATTATAATTAAGGCAAATTTTTTTCTGCCAGAAAAATTATCCCAGATATAAAAAGAGTTGGAAAATTATTGCTTTAATCAATAGAAATTATTCCAACACTGAAAAGAGCTACTCTAACCACAAAAAAAGAATATAGAAAACATAACTCTGAATTATAAAATATTGATATTTCAACATTTTCAAATATCAACCATTTGTGTTTGCTATGCAGAAATTTTAAATATAGAATTTAATTTTTGCGATCCTTAGAGTCTATAAGTAGCACAACAGATCTTAACTGGGGAATACATTGTAATAGAATTCCAAAAGAATAATCACCATAATTAACAAAGAAGAAAAGCTGAAAAGACCATTCATAGAAAACAGAAAGATGAAATAAATGACATAAAAAGACCTCACTTTAAATACGTGCTCTAAAAAAAATTTTTTTTATATCATGCTGATTCTCAGAGGCAGAGTATTTGTGCATTGCTGAAAACTGCTTTCACAAAAGGGATGTTTACCACAATATCTCTGCCTGCTGTTATCAATCACTCACAAACTACCAGCAGCAAGTGATGATTACCTCAAACACAGGGTTTTCTTCTTTTTGTCCAGTCTCAGCATGAGAGACAGGCAGGCAGCAGCTAAGCACCTTGATTGGTACAAAGCCACAGAAAGGGTGGGGAGGGGGTGCATCGCTGCCACTGCGTCCTTCACGTGAGTCCTGGAACTCGTTTTATCTGCTACAGCCCCACTCGCCTCGATGGAGACTTAGCCTTTACTGCCACTGAAGCTAGGCCACAAGAATTTACCAGAAACTCTAGAATTTGAACCTGGGGCAACACTTGGATATTTCCAATATAAAAGATCTTGCCAAAGCAGAACTGTCCCCCAGATTCATTGCTGCTTATAATGGTTACAGGTTCTAAGAAGGCAAGGCTGACAGCTGCAAAGCTGCACTTTTAATTATTGTGACCTTATTGTGAAATTGGAGTAGTTTCCTGCCGAGAGAAACTAATTCCTTTGGAAAATGGTAAAGACTCTAAGTCTACTAGGAATCCTTGGAAGTTGCAGCAACATTTATTATTGCTGCATAGCAAAGTAGTCTTGATTTTTAAAAAAAAAATTTATACAGTTTTAAACATAAATATAATAATTGATATAAAGATTTTCATTTCTTTTTTTAATTTAGTTAAGTAAGGGCTTACTAAAAACAAAAACTACTTTGGGCAAAGTCATAAATATGGGCTTGGAGGCCAAATCCCAGCTTTGTCTCTTACTTGCTGTGCAAACGTGGGCAAGTTATTTACTATCTCTAAGCCACCAATTAATTCATCTATAAAATGAGAAGATTTGTGTGATGATAAATTGAGAAAATGTAGATAAAGGTACTGGCATAAAATAGGCACTTAGTAAATGGCAGTGATTTTTAAAATATAAAAAAGGTATATTGTTATATGTTATCATTAAGTTATCACGCGTATGCTGCTTAGATCGTAGGAGTTAAAGTTGGGTGTTTGAAAGAAGTTCATTTACTTTGTAGTACTTTATGTGTCCATTCAATCACCACAACTGGGGATAAGTGGTGTAATGATCCAGGTAGAGTCTTTTAGGGCAGATGGGAGGCAAAAAATTAGAATGACAGCTAGTCTCAAGTACCCAGAAGTGCTACTCTCCAACTAAACCTGGAGGTACAGTTTGCAACTGGATCCCCCAAGTCCTGGTTTTCACACATCACACATGCTGTGAATATTTTCTCTTAGGATAATTTCATACCAGGTATAAACCACTTACAAGATTTCTGTTCAAGAAATCCTGATCGGAAGAAATGAAATTTAGGAATGAGAAGGACCTTGTCAAAATCTTTTACTTTGGGCTGTTTACCTGTATTATGGTAATGACTTTCTAAAAGTATGTGTGTGCATACATACCTCAGAGGTTGGTGAAAAGTCTAAGTTAATATAAATCAATATAACTTGCCAGAAAAAAAAATCAGGTAGGAAGTTACTTTACAGAAGAAAAAAAAATTTTTTTTTTTTTACAAATGAGAAAAGTGTATTATGAAAACTACAATTTTGGTCTATTTATTCTATCTATCTGATATATAGATTATACAGTTGAATATGGGATACCTATGGAGATTAACAAGTCTAAAGAGAAAACTTTAAATCTCAAATACAGTGCCTATATTTACTTGATGGGCTATGATAGGGACAAAAATAAACTTAAACCCCTGAATATACAAAATTTATTATCTTACACTTAAATAATTAAACTGAGTGATACACTTTCCAAGTACCTTTGTTGCTTAAGTGTGTAATTCAACATTTTTATTTTTATAATAACTATGATAATAGTGGTATCAATGGACTTAAAGCATACAAAAATAGTTGAATATATCTCTTAGATTAGAAGCATTATTTTTCAAGCATATCTCCAGTGTATTTTTAAGTATATCTCTGATTACAAAATGAATTTTTTAAGTTTCATGAGGTAGTCTACACTGACTCAAAAACTTTTTAGGGGGCAGGGGAGAGAGTTTAATACTTTTTCGTGCAATTATATGTGTTTCTCTAAATAAATTCACAGTCTTATATAGTATTCATATATTATAAATAATACCTCTCCTAAGCAAGCAGATTTAAATTATAATTTTAAGGGAAACAATACCATCTGAGCATATCTTTTAAAGATAAAAACAATCAAATAGGATAGGGTCACAGAAAAATGTGGAGGCTTTGCTTTGTTAATGCAAAGGTAATGCTAACACTTTACTAAAAATAAATGATGTGGCAATGCCTACATTTATTTTCAAAATAAAAGTCATTTATTCTGTCACTATATTTTATTCCAGTGACTTTCTATATAATGGTATATGCTAAGTGATAAATGCAGATGTACTCTTTTTAAAGTGACAGACATTTCAAAGTGAACAAGAGTTTCCCAACCAACTAGCACTGAAAACTATATTTTAATGGTACAGAGGATTGAACTGTTTGGGTTTTCTGTTAAGGTATTTACATTTTAACTTGACACATAGGAATGATGCTATTCTTATACCCAAGACAAAACTCTTTGCAAAGTAACTTTAATTATTCTCTGTATACTTTGTTTTGTATAACTTTTTGCTTTCCTAATGTTTGTCACAAAAGTAGACTGGAACAGTTTCAAGTCTATCCCATCATGAAAATATCAAAGTCCCCAATTCCAAATATCATTATATGAGACAAAATAAACTATACAAACTGATATTAGTAGGTCACTGATACAGCTACGGATGTTCTAACAACATGAGATGTATAATAACTTATAATTCCAAGTGTGAAAGTTTTTATGCTTTTTTTTTTTTTTTTTTTTGCTTACGCACCTCAGGGACTGAAACTCCTGAAGTGGGCAGAGTCTGCTGAAAAAGAGAAGTTCATATTAAAGCTTAAAAAAACAAAAGTCAAACTGAAAACAAATGCCAATGAAGTTCTTATATCACTACTCTCCTGTGAAATAAGTGAATAAATATAAAATGCATTTCCTTGTCAGATTTTTTCTGCTTAATTTCATTAAATAAATGAGTAAATATCTTTTCACAAAAAAAAAGGAATGCTCCAACGAAAAGTGGATTAGATTGTGAATTACTTATCCAAAATGCAATTTCATCACCCAAAGCAGACTGATCAACATCCTTGGCCGGCTTCACAGACCTCTCTGAAACAACACGGATGTATTACATTTATATTTTGCAATAAGAACTCATCTCCAAGTCCCATTATCCTTCATAAACCATTCCTACTAATTTTTTAAGTTGCCCATTTACCCGTCCCACTTTTCAGTTTTCCAGTCCAACTCTCATTCCTTCCTAAAAATACTCAGTGTCTTTTTCATGGAGACATAGCTTATGGTGTTGGTTTTATTTTGTGATTTTTCTGGAAATAAGAAAAAATATTCCATTAGTATCAGTAAAAAGTAAAAATATTATTAAATACGTAGAAAAATTTTCCTTGAGAGTAATTAGAAAAAAACAAAAAAGATGAAGTTAAATACACTGAAGCTGGTCTTTGTGACAGTGCATCTTCAATTATCCACCACCCCTCCTTTTCTGAGTCACAGTGGGAAGCTTTTTTTCTGGCAAGAAACAGAAAAAAGGGTTACCAAATTCCAAAGTGTATGTCCTATGGGACTCAGAACAAATTTGGAAAATTGTTGACAAATCACACGCATAGTACTAGCCAAAGTTTTCCTGTGGTAGGCTGTGTGTGGTGAGGGGAAGTATGAAAGCTGAATGTGAAGCTAGGAGTTCTTAGATATTTGTGTGTCTCTGAAAAGGAGGGAGTGGTCAGCCTTTTCATTTCCTCCCCAGGACTGAGCTATTTGAAGGTGACTCTAAATGAATGTCCAAGATGGGTCTGAACAATCTGAGAACACAGATATCAATTGACTCCCTTATGAAGTATACTGAGATTAATGAAGAAGCAGGCACCTTCATAGTGACTCATCACAGAGATGGACCAGAAAGATCCAATGCACCCAAAAGTGGATGAGAAGAAGGGGTCTAGGGCAGCCCTAGAGAAAATTAAAGTGTCCAAGAATGCAACTCCATTTTGAAGATATTTTTATAATATAAATAAAAAAAAATGTTGCAGCTGCAGATTTTTCATCAAAAGAAGTCATCAAGTCTGGGAGGATGAACTCAGGTTAACTATCCCATTAATAGGAGAACCTTACAGAAGTAATTGCTATTTCTAAGATGGATTGAAAACAGATTTAATAGAACTTTCATTGAAAGCTTTCTGATTTCAGTAATATTCTGGACTTTTGAGTCCAAGTCAGTCTACATAACACCTGGGGCAATGGGCAGTGGGAAGAATGTGCTAGCTTCAATCTAGGTCACCTCAAATTTTTTGTCAGCTTTCCTATTTTTCTTTCTTAGCTTTTAGTTCAAGCTTATATCTCAATAAACATTTTAAGACCTGAATGTTGTTCTTCCAACTTTATTATAATATATAAATGCTTCTTCTCCCTCAAATCCAAATCAAGTGTCTTATCCTGTGATTCCTTATCCTATCCTAGGCCATAAGCCCAGGAAAGTCCCAGAGACTCTCAAGCAACCAACCTAGGCTGTCCACCAAGCTGTCTCCACAGCATGAGTCACAGATGCCTTCGACTTTGGGAAGAATCTATGCTCACTGTACATACGTCCATACCAAAGCAGCACAATGGAAAGCCAGTGAACATTATAGTTGTCAAAATGGCTCAGAAAAACAGCCAAGTGTGATGCAAAAATTTCGAATAGATACTGTCCACCCCACTTCAACCACCAAAAAAAAAAAAAAAATCTATAAAAGACATTTTTGACATACTTTTAAGCATTTGAATATTGACAGGATAATGACTGATATTATGGAATTATTGTTAATATTCCTAGGTGTGATAATAGTATGGTAATTATATAGAAAACTGTCCTTAATCTTAGAAGATACCTGCTGACATATTTAGAGATGTAGTGTTATACTATCTGCAATTTATTTGCAAAAGGTTGAATGTAATAAAATATATATTTCTGCATATATGATGGCAAAATAATAATGTAGGCTGGGGATATACTGGATTCATGTGGCTTGATGTCACAAAAAGCAAAATCCATGCCAACTAAGATAATGCCTTAAAAGGCATTCTCTCCCAAAAAGAGACCGTAGGATGAAATTAAACCCTGCTGGCACTTTGCTACCACCTATGTGGAGAACTGGTAATATACAGATATTCAGGTATATGGGCTTCTTCCTTCTTAAGGTAGTAGGGGTACTGGTCATCTACTGAGAGTGAGGAATGTTGGCAGAGAGATAGTGACATGAAGAAAGCAAGGAAATAGTAGAGAGTTTGCCACGACCTCTCTGAGAATGGGAAAGCAGTTGACAAAGAATGAGTAACAGAATCAAGCAAAATTCAGAGAGAGTGGCGCTAAAAGTCATAAATATGTAAGAAAACCACCAGCTCAGAGAACTTTCTCCAGCAACACTCAGACGTCTGAGAGCAACACTAAAAATTCACTCCAAGAATAGGAGTGATGAAACAATGTATATATATATATGATTTTTAAATATCAAGGATGAGCAGAGTAAATGTTTTAGTTTTTTGAAAATGATCATGAGAGTATAATTCTAAATGTAATATATTTTTAATCAGAATTAATACAGGAACTGTATATTTGTATTTAATCTAATGTGAGGTGTGACTACAGAGGAATGTGATTGATTTTATTTAATCAGTATCATTTTAATATTAAATAGAATACACAGTACAGATAATTAGTTTAAAAGATGCATTTGTCTTCAGGGCACTTATTAAGTTCAACCTAATATCAAAGAATTTTTAAAAATCCTATTATTCTAAAGTATTGAGATATCTCTTGTCTTTGTAGTTTCTAACATGTAATCATTTTAAATTGACAATTTAATCCAAATTGTCACAGGGCAAAGAAAAATCTTTTGTGGAGAGATTGTTGGGAGGTTTGAGTTAAAAATATAAGAGCATAGTAGTCACATTAAAAGGGTCATTAGTTATTTCAAGACAAAAGTAAAATTGACAGAATTATATGCTATACCTCTATAGGAATGTTTATTTTTTTGCAAAATTGCTTTTATGCTTATTGTCTCATTGAATCCTCCTTCTAAGCCAAGATATTCCACTTCTCAGACTAAGAAACTGAAAATCAGAAAGATCAAACAGCCAACCTAAGAAAATAAAGTTAATGACGGACTCCAAATATAGTAGTTCCCTGTCCTGGGCTCCATTTACTCAAACAACAAGTTCAATAAGAATTTCTTTTCTAACTTTCTTTCTAGCCATGTCTCTATTTTTTAAGTGATTTGAAAATCAAATTATTTTAAGACAGTGAACACTGGGAAGTATTTAGAGACCACAATATGCATTTGTTCTGCCTGAAAGAAGGGGCTTGAATATCAATATGGAGTAATTTAACACAGCAACTTCTAGTACAGAGGTAAATTGAAGTGGCCAAATAAAACTGTTCTAAATAGCTGCTTTCCTTATATGCAATTGGATATCTCTGGCATCAAAAAAGAAGTGAGAGAAAGAAAAGCAAGTTTGGGAAAAGAACAATTGTCTTCCTAAAATTGTACCTGTCAGCCTGAAAGGGAGAAGTTGTTCTCTCACACTTGATGATAAAATGTATCAAGGCCATCTCTACCCTATAGAAAGTAAACACATTTGATTTCGGCGAATTTTACTGTCATATTCCAGATTCATAATTTGTTTAAGCTTTTATGATTTTGCAGGTCCTTAAGTGTATACACCACACATTTGAACACAATACAAATTTTATTTTATTTTTTAAGGATTTTATTTATTCATTTGAGAGAGAGGGACAGAGAGAGCACAAGCAGGAGGAGAGGGAGAGGGAGAAATGGACTCCTGGCTGAGCTTGGAGCCAAACGTGGGGCTTGATCCCAGGACCTGGAGAGCATGATCCTAGCCCAAGGCAGAGCTTAACCAACTGAGCCACCCAGGCGCTCCACAAAACAAACTTTTAAAAGGAAGTGAGACTGGGGGCGCCTGGGTGGCTCAGTCGTTAAGCGTCTGCCTTCGACTCAGGTCAGGACCCCAGGGTCCTGGGATCTAGCCCCTCATCGGGCTCCCTGCTCCGCGGGAAGCCTGCTTCTCCCTCTCCCACTCCCCCTGCTTGTGTTCCCTCTCTCGCTGTGTCTCTCTCTCTGTCAAATAAATAAATAAATAATCTTTAAAAAAAAAGGAAGTGAGACTGAAATAATTTTTATGCTACAAATAATTTTTATAACCAATGATTATTTCAATGTATGGAGAGTCTTTCAGTTAGAAGGATCATTAATTTTTTTTCAGCAGCACTTTGACATACCTAATTAAAATGTAAATACCAAAAATAAAATATTTTAGAAGAACACATATGGGATGCCTGGGTGCCTCAGTCAGTTAAGCATCTGCCTTCGGCTCCGGTCATGATCCCAGGGTCCTGGGATGGAGTCCCGCATTTCCTTGCTCAGCAGGGAGCCTGCTTTTCCTTCTGCCTGCCACTCCCCCTGCTTGTGTTCTCTCTCTCTCTCTCTCTGACAAATAAATAAATTAAATCTTTAAAAAAAGGAAGATACACATATTATAATCTTAATTCAGGGTCCCTTGACTAACCACTTCTCACGTGAGCCAAATTTTTAAGCCTGCACCAAATAAATTTAATGGTAAGAATATTTTTAATTGAGATCACTTCATTACCCTTATAATTTTAATTGCTCACAAGAATGTCTATTCTTATTCTTGTAAATGTGATTGTTTACACATATTTGCAGAGTTTAGTTCAGATGATTTTGCACAGAAGGGATTGTGAGGCTCCCTCCTTAATTGCTCCCCCAGTATGCATGCATG